TTGGCGGTGCACATGCTTTGCAAATACTGCAATCGAACAAAATCTGCATGACAGTTTACGAACCGGATTTCGATTTCGGTGTGTGATTTTGATCGGACTATGCATAGACTCTTTAGTCCAGCCAAAATGTAACTCCATTATACCAGTCTAGTTCTGCAAGGGTGGAAACTGGACTTTTATAGTCAGTTAACTCCCTTGCCTCAGGAAGATGTATAAAAATCACCAGGATAACATTCAATTTTGCAAAAGACAGATTTTACGTACTCTTCATTGTCTTTTAACATCATTATCACTGTACATCAACTGGAGGTTACAAGAGTGCTCTCCCTTGCACAACACTCCATTGCTCAAATTTAAGTCATTCACTGTTCTTACTTGGCAAGAGATGTCTTTGATAAAGAATTCAAATTATTTTACTTGAATACTGGATATAGGATCATCATAAAATGTGACTTTCTTTCTTCACAGCAACTTAGTCATGAGTCAACTAGAACGTTGACAAAATACAGTGATCCCTCACTACAAAGCTAACATTGGGGTCCAAATAACTGATGAGCGTTATACGATCAGAGTTTAACCAAGGTGGAGTCATAGGTGGTAGATGACCAACACAACAGTACAAGCTTTGCCTACCTAACATGATCTACGATGCACGTTTCAGAGTTTGAAAAAATATTAGAATAGTACTTGTTTATGATTCATAGTGTAAAAAAATATTTATCAAGTGTTATGTGCTTTATAAAAAACATGTCGTATCCCGTCAGCTATTTCAGGTGAATGAACAGGTATAACAAACTTTGTCAATAAAAATATGAAATTTCATATAAAACATCACTGGACATGATGATTTACCATATAAATTGTATTTCCTGCTCTCCAAAGCATTGTTTTATATGCTTATATGCAGAGATTAAGATTATCATGAAAATCGGTACAAAACTAAACTGTTTGAAATACTTTGTATTAAGGAAAGTGTTTGAATAACATGCGAAATACAGAAGCAGCCCTATCAGTGCCTTAATTGCTCTAAATACCCCTCAAACTTGAAACATCCCAACACATATGACTTTTTTCTCAGCATCAACTCAAATGCAACCCTCCCATAATATGCATCATGTACCATTTTGAATTTAGTAAAACCAACGTCACTGATATTAATTTTTCTATCATCCAAAACTGCCCTCCAAAGAAGATACTGCTTGGATAGCATCAAGCTAGGAGATATCACTACAATGAAATTGCCTCACAATGCTTTGCAGACCATGGTGACGTCATTAGTACCATAATGTCACAATCAAATGACATCACTTATCTCTCTGCCACTGAAGCTGGTTAGCTGTTCATTTTACAATCAAGACACTGGTTATTACTGTTTATAAACTGAAAAAGCAGAAAAATTATTTTCGATGATAAATCGTATTCTTGCTTTGTCTGTCGATAAAAAACGTATTCGACATAATAAGCGCTCAGGGCGCTCTCAAAATTAGAAACTATGGGGCTCTTATTAGAAAATAATTTTGGTGAGATAAAAAACAGAGTTGAAAGACTGTAAATTTTGTGGTTTATGCTGACAGCCTGAAATGATATAAAAGAAGATTCTGCATGTATTATACACAATAGATATTTTTTCGAGAATTTAATTGCCCATAATTAAGGGTGAATATAACACACAAGTACGTATTATACACAAATAAATAAGTCTTGTGTACATTGATAAATCGGAAAGGGTGCTAATTGGGATTGTTCACTAACCAATATCTTAGCAAATATCGCCGTGGGCGCTTATTAGAGCGGGACGCTTATTACGACGAATACAGGTTTTTTATATCTAAAGACACTCGGGTGAGGTTTTCTATATATTCAATACTCTATCTGATGGAAATATAACCATGGTCAAAGGTTACACACGAGGATCCGTCAACAAGATGCCCAATGTAGGACTTCGAAAACTCACATCCTAGAGCTAACTTCATAAGAAAGTGATTTGCACTTTCAGTCTTAAATACTCATGTCAACAAGTTACAATTACACAAATTGATTGTGCTGCAAATATATAATCTCGATACCCCACTGTCAACACATGGCAAGACCTACAATCAACTGGTCATGTTATCAGTGAAGGACAGTGACATTGGACTTGATATAAGACAGGTATTGATGTAGGAGTTAACGATTGAAATAGGCTCTTTTTTTTACAAGAACTAAACAAACTACTCATGATTTGGAGCCATATTTTGTAATTTAAACAGTCTCCCCTAATCTAACAGGATCGAGACCTCACTTTATGCCCCCCTTTCACAACGACCACGAGTATCCCGAATCACCCCGAATCTGAAGGCCAATACTGCAAACTTCCGTTGCTAATCGGGTTGAAAAATATGAAGTATGCCAGGAATGGGTTAAGAAACATGTATGAATTACAAGATTCATGTACGGATCATGCACGAATTGTACGAATAACCTACGACTAAGTTATGAATATGCCGGACGTTGATCTAGACCTCACCTTAGAGATCTTGTCTAATCAGATCTAAACCTCACCCTAGAGATCTTGTCTAATCAGATCTAGAGCTCACTCTAGTGATCATGCAAATCCTGTTTGGTGAAATATGTGTTGGACCAACTCAAATTACTGCAACAAAATAATTATTTTAACACGTATTTCATAACCAGTCACCTTGACCTTCAATGACTGTAAAACACTTGCCCGATGTATTCCCAAGTGATGTGAGAGAGGTGTCATAGGAGTGCCAGACATGCAGTGGGCCCATGTCAGTTGGTTGGTTTGTTGTTTAACGCAGCCCTCAGCAATATTCCAGCTCTATGACGGCGGTCTGTAAATAATCGAGTCTGGACCAGACAATCCAGTGATTGACAACATGAGCATCGATCCACACAATTGAGATCGATGACATGCATCAACCAAGTCAGCGAGCCTGACCACCCGATCCGAGCCCATGTCAGAAAAAAAGAAAATAAATAACAAACAAAAAAACAGCCCATGTCAGAAAAAACAGTGTGATGGCAACCTAAAAATTAAGCCAACCCAGTACAAACTCTCTTTTCCTAAAGGCGCTACACAGTGTATAAAGTCCAAAATTTTGTTAGAAACTGTAGGGGGGCGTCTTTGGTACAAACATATACGTGAACAGTAAATATTTGGTTTTAACAGGTCCCTTAAGTAAAGAATATAATAAATGCCATCATAATTATATTCTCTGCATAAGGGTCCTGAGTTGCGACTAGTTCTGTAGAACTTAAATATCTGACCAAAAATCACAAATATTATTTTCGGCAAAAAAGTATGTTACTCGGTACTTCAGCGACTAGTTCTGTAGAATGTAAATATCTGACCAAAAATCACAAATATTATTTTCGGCAAAAAAGTATGTTACTTCAGCGACTAGTTCTGTAGAATGTAAATATCTGACCAAAAATCACAAATATTATTTTCGCCAAAAAAGTATGTTACTTCAGCGACTAGTTCTGTAGAATGTAATATCTGACCAAAAATCACAAATATTATTTTCGGCAAATAAGTATGTTACTTCAGTACATAAATCAAGCAATAACAGTTACCAGGACTGTTATAAAAATATATCTCGCCACTTATTATTGGATTGGAAGCAGAAAGACAAACCACAACATAATTTGTTGTTGAAGCTAAATAACACTCAATATACAAACAAAGGCGAAAAACGATATATTACAAAATAATGTACATCACCGGTATGTGTTAAACATTTATCCCCAAGAATCAAGCAAGCAAATGCATGTACTTGGTAAAATTTACAAAAAGGATTTTATATAAGGCTTCAAGCAAGGAATCCAAAGGCATGATACAAATGAGTATGCAATGTTGTACACCTTGAAAGATTTAAGAAAATATGAAAGAATTGTGTTTCCATGACAACGCTAGAGCAAAAATTGACAAAGGATGAAGTGGTATAAGCATCACGAGTTGGTCACGTGATGGATCTGGTTACTTAGGGACGGTTAGAGCAGCCAGATTCAGAGAAGCACAAGTCTTGTGGTGGAGGGTTGTGAAGAGAATTGAACATATGCATGGTAGACATGCTTCATGAATACTTCATGAATACTTCATGAATACTTCACAGGTTTGTATACACTGTTCCTCCATCACCCATGCATGAACACATTTTAAAGTGTTGGTCAGTAGTTCCCCGAACACGCCATGGTCTGGTTCCAGAGGGATCCGGACAATGAACACCCTGATTACATGGAACAAACAGTCATACTTGCTCCCGGTCACTCTACACATTGTTCAGTATCAGGTCATGTAGTGAGTGAGTGAGTTGGGTTTAATGCCGCTTTTAATAGTATTCCAGTTATATCACAGCGTATCAGCTTAATGTGGGAGGAAAGCCCAAAGTGATGCAGGTTTCAGACGTTTACCACCTTAGTGAAACCCACGAGCACGGGTATGGTGCTGACAAACCTAGAAACATAATCGGGGCGAACTGGGATTCGAACCCACAATCATAGGTTCCTGGCGTGCCCAAGGGATGCAACTCTGCACAGCGAATTGCGGCGCCTTAGACGACTGGGCCACCCGTGCCCCCGCTTCGTTACTAAACCCCACTCCACCAATATGAAGATTTCTCTGAATTGTTTTACAGCAGGAATTGTATTAAAAACAAACTTCATCCAAATTGAAATAGAAGTCCAAGGCCCCTTCCACAAGCGATCCTTGAGGCCAGGCGTTTTATATTTTTGGGATAACGGACCTGCCGACTATTGAGAAAATGTAAAAAAAAAAAAAAATCAGATTTCCATTTTGTTTTCCCTACCGATAGCCGCGTAGTTATTTTATTTGTTATCATCACCTTTTAATAAAAAACATATGAATTTACCGTTGTAAACTAGTAAAGAGATACATAATCAATCTTTGTTGATCTCAAAGCCGAACATGAATAGCCTCCCTTGAGGCATTCTGCATTAAAAAAAAATGAATCTGGCTTTTTTTTGGCTTTTTTGCCCCCCTCCTCCAACCCTGGACTTTGGGCTGAAAAATCTGTAATCTTAAAAATAAAAAAAGCCTGGCCTAAGCTATGATTGTCTTTAGCCTATGTTAAAGTATAGGAGCTAAGATCCCTTTGTAGAATGAAGCCCAGGGCTCTGTTCCACAAAGCAATCTATACCACTAAGATGATCGTAACTCCTATACTTTAACATCAGCTTACAAAAGTCATAGTGCTTCGTAGCACAGACCCCAGACCCAAATCCTACAAGGAAACTTAGCACTAAGACAATTAGAACTCCTACAGTAAAACATTGGCTTATGATGGTTGTGACGCTAAGACCACTTTGTGGAACGAACCCCAGACCCCAATCCACAAACCAACCTTAGCACTAGGACGATCAGAACTCCTATAACATAACATTGGTTCTTGACAGTTGTAATATCAAGATCACTTTGTGGAACGGGGACCTGATTTCTACACTTACCCAGCATTTGTGACTGGGACAGACATGACAGAGTGACATGAGTTGCATGTTGGACACTGATCTACCTACTTACATGACTTAAGTACTTCTGTTGGGAGATGTGCTAAGAAAACCTGGTTATATCAACAAGGTTATCAAGTTGAGGTCAAAACAATCACAATGCTGCTGGTAAACAATAATTTGATGTAGTTGGACAAGGACAGGAAACACAGATTGTCTTTGGCTATAACCAATCTTTAAATGTTTCTTAAATGACCAGTATCAATACAAAATACTCAAGTGTACAATCATACAGTCTCGGCCATCTGTTGGGGTTATGTCACTTTTGATGGCTTCGAGTTCTGTGTAAACTGACGGACTAGCATCATCAACCAAGTGTCAGCTGTGGGATACTGACACAGAGCACTGCAACCTGAAGCCAAACCAGCAAACTCAATCTACTGAATGTCCAAAAGGTAATTCTTCAGTAGCCTTGGGACAGGCAATTCGTCCACTTTGGCAGCTAACTGTCTATCCAATGCTTTGTATATCTGCACTCTCGCAATCTGCTTTAGACTCCGCGGATTCTCTGACAACTGGTTGAGGAGACTTAAGAAGTCCTGCCCATTGGCATCTACTGGGTGGTACCTGGCCAGGGTCTTGGCCGCATTGAGACACTCGTAGAGGATGGCATGTTCCATTGTGTTGTAGAAGAGGAGAAGCAGTTCCTGTGCCCGGCCGTCTGTGAACATGGACTCTCGCTCCTTCACTTCATGAATGTAGTGGTTCACAGGCTGGGTTCCTTGCTTCTTCAAAAAGATTGAGCTTTGAGAGTGACAGATGATTGGTTCGGAGGGATACGGTTCGATGTCTGGGTTGGCCCCCCATTGGAGAAGTGTCTTCAGCCACATATGAATGACACAGAAATCTTTGGTTGTCTTAGCCAACATTGTTAATCTCACAAACTCAATGAGAGCATTTCCACTCCCTCCCTTGGGATAAGGGCATGTCCTTGAACTCTTGTGATTTGCATTTAAGCCATATTTAAGGAGAAGACACAAAACTCTGTCCGCAAGTTTGGCATACAGAAATTTTGTAGGTCCATGTTCGTTTATTTTGTCATCCATCTGTGTGGTATCATCTCCAGCCATATCCTCAAGCCTAAAGTACCTCTGACAAACCATGGCTATCAACGTGGCACATGTGCCCTGGTTCCCGGCAACAAAGTTCAGCTGTGCACCATTCACAAGCAGCACCTCAAATGCCCCGACAACATCATCTGCTTGAACAATGAGTTCCTCAACAGAGTCACAAAGGAGACAGTTCAGAAGCAGCACAAGAGGACTGTGACCCAACTGACACTGAAAGTTAGGGTTTGCATTGTGCTGGAACAGTATCTTCATGGCTTGCCTGAGAGACCAGTAGTTGTTCCTGTAGTCCTTGATTAAGCAGGTAAATATTGATGTCTGAACACAAGCACATGGGTTATCAGGGTTACAGGATTTGAGGGCAATGTGGAGCATCCTGCTCAGGGCTTGAAGACCGTACCCATTTAACATTGCAGGATCAGCATTAAAGGAGAGCAGGGTCTTCAAAGAATTCACAACCTGTTGCTGATAGTTCTCCTGCAAAAAGCTTCTTGGCACTTTCCTTAGACTAAGCTTCGCATAATTCCCTCCAGTGTAGGAGATGTGGGAGACTAGCATGTGGAGCGCTGTCTCTCCAAGAGTTGTCAAAGCATTGATGTCCTGTTCAATTCCAGTGGTGAGAAGATATTTTGTTGTATCATGGATTGAAAACAAGCCATCAATGTTCATCCTGTACAGTCTGTGCAAAGCTGTTTCATGAAGCTTTCTTGACACCAGATGCAAGTCTGCTCCACTGTCCACAAGTATCTTCACACACTCTCTGCCCCAAGGAACAGCTGTGAGCAAAGGAGTGTCCCCATCAGAATTGTACTCATTAATGCACTGAGGGTAATGCTTCAAGAAGTAAGAAATGCAACCAGCTGCTCCTTCTCTGCAAGCAAAATGCAACATATTTACAGGGGAAACTGAACCAGTCTTTGACTTTCCTTTGGCAAATTTTAACATAAGGTCCAAGCAATCAATATGACTTTGACTAATTGCACACTCTATAGCACTATGTTTGTTTCTCTGGCAGTTGTAAATGGGAACTTGGGTAAAGCCAAACAGAAAGTTCTGCTTGCCAGTTGGCTGGTGGGAGTCAGGATAGCACATCCCGACAACATCTGCTGGAGCTTCTCCAGACTGCAGGAGTATTTCTATGATACTTTTGTGTCCTAGGAAGGCTGCTATGTGTAACGGAGGACTACACGAGTACCGGTTGGGACAGTGCTGCTTCCTCAGCACCATCATCACCAGGCCCTTGAGACGCTTGATCACGGCATGCTGCAGGATATCGAATCCATCAATCGGATCAACCACACACAGAAGATCCTCATCTTCGGGCAGAGACTCTATCAGACTCTGGACCTGTTTCAAAGTCCTTGAGTCGGAACTGTGTATCAGAAGATCCAAGGCTTGGTAGATCTTTCCTGTTGTTTCCCTTGAGGGCTTCTTAAGGTTCTGCCCGTATATGAGACTGAGTGGCCAGGATCCCTTGAAGTACTGACACAGAGAGTACACATAGCTGTACGTTACTTCCATGAAGGTACCCATCCTTAATTCCAGGCGGTGCTGCCAGTCACTTGCAGGTGCATCTGGAAAAACAAATAAATATCATTGAAAAACACTCATGACCACAACATAAAAAGAATGATGATGATGACAAAATAAAATGTGAAGGTGGAACATCATGTTGTCAATTACATTGATCCAGCCTCAATACACAGGGTGTTTCCCCTAAAACTAGGATCAGTGTATTTGATACAACTATACCATGCTATACATGCAACTACTGTGAGCACCACGAACATGGCTTAGGTCTAATTAACTTTATAAAAGACACAAAAAACATTGTCACATTGTTTCATAAGTCACACTTTTGTACATCGCATTTATACAGCGTAGCTCACCTGGTTCAAATTATGTAGGGCCATTGTGGAAGGGTCATGCACCCTTATACAAACGTAAAATGTCCCAATAGAAACACTAAATATAAACATCATGTCAACACCAGAGAAAAAAACATCCACCGAACAGATTCCATAGGGCATAAAAGTCAAAATAGCAGTGAAAATTATATTGAGGATCCCCCAGTGATGACACCAGGTGTTCAAGAAATACCATACCTATTGAAATACAAGCAACATTTTCATTCCATAGAACAGGGAGTGTGAGTGAGTTGGGTTTAACGCCGCTTTTAACCGTATTAGTTATATCGCGGCGTGTCAGCTTAATGTGGGAGGAAAGCCCAAAGTGATGCAGGTCTCTGACGTTTACCACTTTGGTGAAACCCACGAGCACAGGTATGGTGCTGACAAACCTAGAAACATATTCGGGGCGAATCGGGATTCGAACCTACAATCATAAGTTTCTGGCGCGTCCAAAGGGACAAACTCTGCACAGTGAATCGTGGCGCCTTAGACGACTGGGCCACCTGTGCCCCTTCCATAAAAGAGAGCTATATTACAATCACCCAGTTGATATACAGACCCCCTGTGCACGTTACTGGTAATCCTACTGGAAATATACTGTGATGACCATCCTTCTTGATCAAAGTAGGATGCCTCATATTTCCATCTCCTAATGATAACAAGTCAGCATCTGATCCACTAATCGTGCTACAATGCGATGATTCCTCACTTCTGCACATGTTTGTAATGTGTAATGTGCATTACACATACAGCATACCTTATGATAATCACACCATGGTCGACAGGCACAACTATTCAAAACCTAGGGAGACCACCAAATGGAAATCCCTCATTATAAACCTATCACTGTATTACCCTATATTGCATTAGGTTCCTGACAACCTCGGGTAACCCTAGTAACCAGTCATCTTCCAAACCAGGTTTTAAAGCGGTTCTCTTGTAAACCTAGGTTTTGAAATGGGTCACTTCTAAACCTGCTTTGAGATTTTACATTTCAACTGTAATACCTAGGTTTTACAACTAACGTTTCATAAACTTGCCTCTTGATGTGAACACAATTGTGTTTTGATGATTGGTTAAAAGTCACATGAAAATTCCATGACGTCAATCAAACCTTCAACCTCACATGTGAGGTTAAGTTTTGTAACTCACCAGAGCTACCGAGGCAGGTGATGAGAAGTTGTTTAATTTATCATGCCATGACTGCAGCTAGTCAACGCAGCATGTGTTTTTTCTCTCGCATGCTTTGAGCGAATTCCTTTTATACTGCAATAAACTGTATTGTTTCACTATAAGGTATGTCGATGCTTTCTTATTTATTCTGTTATTTTCTATTAAGATGGTTCATAAGTTGGATAAAAAACTCTTTCTCAGTTTTGGTTGAAAATGTAAAACCTAGAGCTTGGGAATGCCTTTGGGCTTTGATGACGTAACTTCTAACCTACCTGAGAGATGAGTACACATATAAGCCCATCAGGCAGAGAACAACATCCAACTTGTTGGTCTCATTCGACATCCCCTTTCCTGTAGACGTGGACATGGAGGCGACTATGCTTGTCATAAGAGTCGACTAACAGGATTGGGTGGTCAGGCTCGCTGACTTGGTTGATGCATGTCATCGATCCCAATTGCGTGGATCGATGCTCATGATGTCAGTCACTGGATTGTCTGGTCTAGACTCAATTATTTACAGACTGCTATCATATAGCTGGAATATTGCTGAGAGCGGTGTTAAAAAACAAACAAACAAAACAAAAGATGTGGACATGGCGTCGTGTATGAACTAGCTTCCGAAGTTCACTGGTCAGGAGTCTTGTTAATTCAAACTGTGGCAAGCCCATATCATATCATGGCCCTACTTTATGGAGGCCGCCATTTTGCAATATGTATTAAAATTGTCTTGACATTATTATGCTAAACAATGGTGAAGCTGATAAGTTGCTTGGTGTACTCTACGTTTGTCTGTCATTCGTGGTGGTTCTGAGATAAAAATACATCGTACGGAAACTGGGACTTAACAACAACAGATTTTGACATTAAATGATGCTTTAACTGACACAATGATTCATAGAAAATACTAGAAAGAAAGAAATATTGAATAGAATTTTCAAATAGACAAGCAGGCTAGCTTTACGGAAATGTTACTCGCCTAATTAAACAATAAGTAACAGGCCTTTGGCTTAAAACTTTGTCTGCTTAGTTAATTCGAATTTACTCACCAGTTAATGAGAAACTCATCTTAATTAGATTAACTCAGTGTCATGAGCATGTCAATAAATAACGGTAAACACAGCTTGACATTATCAATTGCAATGGCTGACCGACAGGCCAAGAAAAGTGGTATCTAACTTACACTTGCTAATAAGCATGATAAGGTTGCTATAATTCAGGAATTGAAGTCATTGCCAAAACCAAGCAGAAAGATTTAGCTGAGAAGTATGGCATCAGTTAGCAGACTATTCTTAAACACAGCGAAGACTACCAGCAACAGCAAATAAAGCTAAATGATCGTTGCTTTTCATTTTGTCTCTGTGTAACCCTGACCTCGACGTTAACCAGACTTTTTTACTGGTCCCATCCAAGTCAGAATGACAGATTTCACTGTATTCCATACCAATTCTAACACATGAAAAGATCAAAATAAAATGAAAACCATCTAAATATGCAATAACTATTCTGCCAACCGTATTAGGTATGTACATTATTTATTCGTGTACTTGAATAGAAAAAGACCTGTCAAGATACGGGTCAGAATAGGTCTTCAGCAAACCATGCCAGCTGTATAAGGCGACTATGGTTTGCCGTAAGAGGCGAAAACGTGATGGGGTGGTAAGGCTTGCTGACTTGGTTGATGCATGTTATCGTATCCCAATTGCGTGGATCGATGCTCATGATGTCAATCACTGGATTGTCTGGTCCAGACTCGATAAGTTAAAGACCGCCATCATATAGCTGGAATATTGCTGAGTGTGGCGTTAAACAAAAAACAAACAAACAAAACTGAATAGAAAACTTACAAAACACATAGCCCAGGAACAGCTGTAAGATTCAACCTGCAGGACACAACACTACTGGCCTCCTATAGCCGAGAGCTCAACACACACTGCAGAACAGGTTCCCGCATAGCAACACAGATAGTCCACACAGGTGATAACCCTGACTACATGCTACCCAGCAGATACTGAAGTGACCTAACCATGAGTTATATCACTGCTATAGATAGCCTTCTCGTAAGATTTTTGACTGTTTACAATCTTTATGTTGACACATCAAGTCTTTGAAAGTCATTTAGAAGCGATACACATAAGGAAGAGTGAGTGAGTGAGTGAGTTGGGTTTAACGCCGCTTTTAACAGTATTCCAGTTATATCACGGCGTGTCAGCTTAATGTGGGAGGAAAGCCCGAAGTGATGCAGGTCTCAGACGTTTACCACTTGGGTGAAACCCAAGAGCACGGGTATGGTGCTGACAAACCTAGAAACATAATTGGGGTGAACCAGGATTCGAACCCACAATCATAGGTTTCTGGCGTACTCAAGGGACGCAACTCTGCACAGCGAATCCCGGCGCCTTAGACGACTGGGCCACCCATGCCCCTGAAAGGCATTTAGAAGCGATACACATAAGGAAGAGAACTTCTGGATGTCAACTCTTTTTTCGGAGGAAAACAACGTTTCGGAGTATATACTTACTCCTTCATCAGCTGACATCCATAAGTTCTCTTCCTTAGGTTGGCACACGTTGCCTAATGCTGTAAAGATGCTGAGAGCAGTTGACACAGCAAAATCTTAGAAATTGGCAATTCTCATTTTGAATTGAACATATGCTTACAGATACTACGTAGTGAGTGATAACACTGTTCTCACCAGGACTTCAGTTACAGCACTTCATATCTACTGTGGGAAAACATCATGAAGTGATGCAGGTCTCAGGCTAGACTCGCACAAGTTTCTAAGGCAGTAATTATTAGTTGCAATAATAAGTCCTAGATTATGTAAATAATGAAAACAAGTTGTCCCTATAAGAGACTGGAGTCCTCAGATGTATGGTCCACATATCTAGACTTGCCTATTTGGAGGATAGAATAACTACACATGCATGGACTTTTCTGTCAGTACAGCCTTGGAGCAAGGCTAGTCTCTTTGGTGAAACTCTAGCCTTGCTCCAAGGTCATACTAAATAATATTTCCATGGATGTATAAGTAATTCTATCCTTACAATAGGCATATCTAGATAAGCGGACAGTCAGGCAGTCAGTCGTTTACATTGACAAATGGTTCTTATTATGTTTATAATCTAGAAATAATGATTTATACTAATAATTATAATAATCACAATCATAATCAGGATTAATCTGGGACTAGAAGCCATGATTATTAACTTATCAGTGCAACCTGTTTTTATCTGGTACAACAAGATTTGCATTTAAACATGTTAACTGTAGTTTCTCAAATCGCACTGTGAATATATCAGTGATTTACTGTATATTGACCTGACCCGAACAGAACACTGCCTTGACATAAGACATTGAAGTAGGTCATAACAGTACAGTTTCCTGTGTTTCTACACGGGGATGTGACTGTCGACACAAATACATCATTCATATGTGCTGCTTTCAAGTCCTTGACACAGTAGGTCCCCAGTATCCCGGGCAGGGTAGGTCCCCAGTACCCCGAGCAGAGTAAGTCCCCAGTACCCCGGGCAGGGTAGGTCCCCAGTATCCCGGGCAGAGTAAGTCCCCAGTACCCCGGGCAGGGTAGGTCCCCAGTATCCCGGGCAGGGTAGGTCCCCAGTATCCCGGGCAGGGTAGGTCCCCAGTATCCCGGGCAGGGTAGGTCCCCAGTACCCCGGGCAGAGTAAGTCCCCAGTATCCCGGGCAGGGTAGGTCCCCAGTATCCCGGGCAGGGTAGGTCCCCAGTATCCCGGGCAGGGTAGGTCCCCAGTACCCCGGGCAGAGTAAGTCCCCAGTATCCCGGGCAGGGTAGGTCCCCAGTATCCCGGGCAGGGTTGGTCGCCAGTATCCCGGGCAGGGTTGGTCCCAAGTATCCCGGGCAGAGTAAGTCCCCAGTACCCCGGGCAGGGTAGGTCCCCAGTATCCCGGGCAGAGTAGGTCCCCAGTATCCCGGGCAGGGTAGGTCCCCAGTATCCCGGGCAGTGTAGGTCCCCAGTACCCCGGGCAGGGTAGGTCCCCAGTATCCTGGGCAGGGTAGGTCCCCAGTATCCCGGGCAGGGTAGGTCCCTAGTATCCCGGGCTTGCTGTAAGCGGGTAGGTCCCGAGTAAACCAGGCTTGCCATCTGAGTGTACAGAACTGCCATTTGATCTGAGTGTACAGATCTATCCAATTTTATCTATATAAACATAAGATTGCTGACACCAGCATAAAAAACTCACACCCTGCAAATGCCTGATGAAAAGAAAAACCCTTCTCTGACAAACATGAATACTTGATGTTTTTCATGACCAGATTCAGCATGTTATCCATAACTTAATACCTGTCAGTGTAAACAACCTGCATCTCCACACATCACTGATAAGGATAATATTGATAAAAGTGATAACAATGTGAAAGACAAAGAAAGATGGACGTGAGTTATCTGACCTTCTGACAATCATAGATCCAGGTCTTGGTTCCCTGTACCCACTCTGCATATGTGTGCAGAAACGAGAGATAGCTCTTATCTCCGTCCTCCGTGTGCTCTTATGCCTGACAACTGAGTTTTTCAGGCCACAGTTCGAAGCAGTCAGTACATAAAGTTCTTAAACTAGATCACCCTCCATACACTGAATCAGTGAGTCGTTCTGTTCAGGGAATGTGTACATAACCTCAGACAGGTCAAGTCTGTTATAGTTTATAGCAGGGTAAAAGGGCATACATTAAATGCATTCTTAAATTCCTTCAACACCAAATTTGAAGGATTCGTGATCCCATGAGGAAATAGAGACGGCTTGAAGGTGCAATCTACTGTCTGGGGAACTTAGGATGTCTTGAAGGTGCAATCTACTGTCTGGGGAACTTAGGATGTCTTGAAGGTGGCATCTACTGTCTGGGGAACTTAGGATGTCTTGAAGGTGCAATCTACTGTCTGGGGAACTTAGGATGTCTTGAAGGTGCAATCTACTGTCTGGGGAACTAGGGATGTCTTGAAGGTGCAATCTACTGTCTGGGGAACTTAGGATGTCTTGAAGGTGCAATCTACTGTCTGGGGAACTTAGGATGTCTTGAAGGTGGCATCTACTGTCTGGGGAACTTAGGATGTCTTGAAGGTGGCATCTACTGTCTGGGGAACTTAGGATGTCTTGAAGGTGCAAACTACTGTCTGGGGAACTTAGGATGTCTTGAAGGTGCAATCTACTGTCTGGGGAACTTAGGATGTCTTGAAGGTGACATCTACTGTCTGGGGAACTTAGGATGTCTTGAAGGTGGCATCTACCGTCTGGGGAACTTAGGATGTCTTGAAGGTGACATCTACCGTCTGGGGATCTTAGGATGTCTTGAAGGTGGCATCTACTGTCTGGGGAACTAGGGATGTCTTGAAGGTGACATCTACCGTCTGGGGAACTTGGGATGTCTTGAAGATGACATCTACTGTCTGGGGAACTTGGGATGTCTTGAAGATGACATCTACTGTCTGGGGAACTTAGGATGTCTTGAAGGTGACATCTACTGTCTGGGGAACTAGGGATGTCTTGAAGGTGACATCTACTGTCTGTGTAACTAGGGATGTCTTGAAGGTGAAGGTCAATATGGAAAACATGCTTTTTTTGGTTTCAAGACAAGTCATATGTTATGATGGAATTGTACTACATAAATATGAAATAATAAAGAAATAGATGTCCCTATCATAGATATTAAATTAGCCCTTAGTTTTCTGCATTCACCTGATTGTGTAATTTGATTCATGTTGCCCAATTATTTGAAAATTTGACACCTTTTTGTTTGACGTCATTGCTTGTTTTGTCCCTGATGACTTTGGAGAAAGATGACATTGGACTAGTGATTAATACATATCTTTCACGTAATTTCATTCATAGTATGAAAAAAGTCAATTCGTAAAACAGAATATCAAGTGTTTTCAACACAACATAAAATTACTGTTATAACCATGTGAATAATGTCTTCAATAGATGAAAAGAGACAGGATTGTGTATCTTAATTTGACATGCTAGGGATCAATTTAACATTTTTTACACAATATGTACACAAATAAATATGTGACAAAACCCTTTCCATATTCCCATAAAATCTCTGCCCAAAGCAGAATCCATGGTACAATTTCAACATTATCATGAAACAAACAGCAGATTATTTCAAAGTTTCATAACTATTTGGCCTATATATACATATTCTATGTACCGTATTCGACGTAATAAGCGCCCCGCTCTAATAAGCGCCCATGGCGATATTTGCTAATATATTGGCTAGTGAACAATCCCAAATAGCACCCCTTCGGATTGATCAATGTACACAAGACTTATTTATTCGCGTATGATATGCACTTGTGTGTTAAATGCACCCTTAATTATAGGTAATTAAATTCTCGAAAAATATATATGTCGTATATAAACATTTCAGGCTGTCAGAATAGACCACTAAATTTATCTTTCAACTCTTGTTTTTTCCCACCAAAATAATATTATAATAAGAGCCTCCTATTTCTATTTTGAGTGTGCCCTGGGCGCTTATTATGTCGAATATGGTATGTTATGATATTCAACATTAATAAATATCCATAGTGTTGTTCATTGTGTGAAAAGATACGTAAAACATACACAAATTAACATTATGATTGAAGGTGAGGTGAGGTGAGGTAAGCTGAAATGGGTTTTAATGTCGTGTTCAAGATTATTGTACTATTATAGCGATGGGCATGCACGCGAGTGTGCGTGTGTATGTGTGCACTTGTGTGTGCTTGTACTAGTCCATGATGTTTGTGTGCGTGATGTATTTAGAGTTTTATTTTACTTCAAAGTAGGGATTGAAGAGGAGGAATATATGCGGCATCCAGGCCTAACAGTAAACTCATGAGGAACTTCCCTGGCAAGTGGCCCTACAGATCTGAGGGTGTGAACATGTACGTCCGGCTACATACATCAGCATGTTGAACAATGTGAGGAAATCTTAGTACGAGTAGTAGAACAAAATAGTTTGGAAACTAGTTAAAAACGATAGCATCGCAACAGGAACCTTTATAGACATCACTCTTGATCTACTGCGGAGTTTAAACTCTTTTAGTTTGGATGTCTAAATCCATGGAGCTGTAAAAGTACAATTCTAAAAGAATGCACCCAGAAAAGTACAGCACATTAAGTAGTCTCCAGTGTCTTGACTAGATTGAATGACAACCTCATGAACGACCTGATTCCACTATCTGGGAAGCAATATTTCTCCCGGTACGTCCCCCTTTAAAATCCAAAATGAAAACAAGGGTGACAGAAAGATGGTAAACGACACCGTTATTGCCATCTTGACGGTTCTGAATCAAACTGTTTGTTTTATTCGTGCACGTCATGTCGACGCTTGTAAACATGCAGTGCAAGTGGCCGTGACATTCACATCAACAAGGATCACCACGACATGATAATCCTGAATGCATAAAAAAGTCCGGATGTGGCAATCTTGGGTAAGGCTATTCCGGCCACCTTGAGGGGAGAACTAAAGCAGATAAACTACAGCTTACCCGAGGGTTATACTGCAAAAACACACCCTTACAATGTCACTTACTTCATCCACGCTTGCAGACATACTCGAGGCTTGCTGTCAACTGTACAAATCTCGACACTCATCCTGATGTATGGTTAAACTCATTGAACGACCTTCACCTTGTACCCATGTGTGTTGACGATCATAGTCTGGGAAGCTGGGTCAAAGTATGGAAGCCTGTCGGTGTGAAAACCGTAAAATGTGAATATCATCTGGACGCTGTCGACTGGTTGCTAGTTTTCATGAATGTGTGTCGTGTATTTTCGTCCGAGCAAGTAAACCTTGATGTTTTTAAGGAAATGATTAGAGAATAAGCAACGAACTACGAGGAATCACGAATTATAATGATGTCGCGAGTGAATGAATGGTGTTGAACTCAATCCTTTGGTGGGCGATTTACAGCATTCATTTACGAGGTACAGATAATCCGTAACTTCAAGTTTCCAGTTGGTTATTCTGTATTTTACAGTTTGACATTTTAAGAGAGAAAATTAAGAAAAGTCGTATGAAATGTGAATCCTTCAGAGAAACTTTAATAAAGGCAGAGACCATATGGTCTCTGATAAAGGCAACCTATTGTTCAAATGACGCAATGTAATCAATTTGCGACTCTTGAACAATGGATGACGTCTTATCGTATTTTTCTCAACAATGAAGCATTGTGATGTCATATGGCTTCAACTGACCAATCAGCATTGAGAATCGCTCAAATGCACATGTGCAAATGTCGGAATGTTATTACACATGACACATGATGTATACATATAGAATACTAAACGAGCTCCCGTGTAATACCAATTTTATGAAACGAGTGAATAGTTCTGGTATCTGACGAGCGAAAGCGAGTCAGATACCAAAACTATTCACGAGTTTCATAAAATTGGTTTTACACGAGAGCGAGTTTAGTATTTTATTTATTACTTGTCATTTATAATGTTTTTAGAATTATACTGTTGAGTGTAAATAGGCTGACACCTACACGATCCATGGCATAATCCAATTGAGTTTAACAGAATAATACTTCAAACACGTCAAAAGTTGAAACGTATGAATTTAATATCATACAATGGTCCACCTTTAGAATTCAGGCGTTCGTCCCACAAAATTATCGTAGTGCTAAGGCTATCACAACTCACATAATTTAACTTAGACTAACGACTGTCGTTGCGCTAGAGTACGATCGCCTTGTGGAACGAGGCCTTGCACCTCAAAGTTTACAATCACGTCACAATACCCGATGACGTAATTTGTGGAATTTTGTTGCAAGATCCATCGGCGAAACAATGCCATGTGACGTCAGTCTAGCAACAAGGTTGCTGGGGTCATCGAGTGTGCATAAGTTCCTCCCAGTGATCTATCATCTCCACACACAATGTCGTTGAATACGCCAAGGGATGTTGAGAGCTTTCAATATTTGTTCGTGAAACGTGTTCCGAGAGTACATAAGCACGCGTTTTGGTATTACACAATGTGTAATAAAGCTGTATGTTTATTAAACGGGTGATCTCTTCACGGGCAAGTAATAAATGTCCATAGGTACAATGTAAGAACGAGTTGGGGCATATAGGTATCGGTGAACTTATAGTTTCAGTAATTCTCTTCAGTATAGTCTCTTACAGGCATCTGATCAAATATTAAATAAAACAACAACCCCATTCAAGACCCGTGAAGATCCGGGGTAGAATAAGTCATCAGCAACCCATGCCTGTTGTAAAAGGCGACTATGCTTGTCGTAAGAGCGACTAACGACATCGGGTGGTCAGCTCGCTGACTTGGTTGATGGATGTCATCGTATCCCAATTGCGTAGATCGATGCTCATGATATCAATCATTGGCTTGTCTGGTCCAGTCTCGATTATTTACAGACGCCGTCATATAGCTGGAATATTGCTGAGTGCGGGGTTAAACAACAAACAAATAAACAAAAACTAAAACTAATATTAGAGTGGTTAAGATTAACATTTAACGTCACATCGGCATTATTTCGGCCATATAGCGACACCAATATTTGAATCCCCACATACTATCAAGGAAATTGTTTCAACATTCTGATTAAAACTACTGATTAAAAAGTAAAACACCATGCGCAGATAGGTAAGGAAAGCACCCATATAAATGTATACGTGTTTAAACACACTCGTCAAGCTGATAATAACCGCGGCATTGTACCACTGGCCTTAAATTAGCCTTTGAGGCAGTCATATTAACAAATCTTAACTAATTTTACACAACTTTCAACATAATAATTAATCATTCTTCCACAGTTACACGACACTGATGCGTGCTCGGTACTTACAAGGCCAGACACGTTCACAATGTGAGGAAATGAATTGCAATATATATAGGACATGCGGAAAATAACAACATAGTGTCGAATTATTGCACCTCGGTGCTACCGTAGAAAAACACGCTCTGCTCACACGATGTCGAACCACCAACTTTGACCACTGTAATAGTCAAGATTTTACAATGTAGGTTGCTGTAATACTGAATTACAGTGCAGACTGACAGATGCATTGTTGGGAGGTAATGTATGTTAATACCTCGAGACACCTGCTGTGCAGCTGTTATAGACTTCAGCAAACAGTGCTGTTTTTAATGCATACGTCGACAATGTATTAAACTATATAGAATTTTCTGTTTATGTATTGTATTGAATAATGTGTACATTAGCATAGTTTTGAATGGGTGGCCAAAATGAAAATTATGAACTTTGTTAAACACCACGGCAGAACAAATTTGGACAATGTTCATGGTAATATTCTGAATTCACGGTATAGTTTTGCTCACGTGTGGCAAGTATAAATGTTATGCTTAATTAAATATTGAAAATTAAAAGCCTTTTTGTTGTGAATAAGTTATCATTTCAGTTGATAAAATTTATATCAAATGTATTCTGATCCTGACGATGAAGTGTGGATTTTCAATTTTGTTATAGTATTTTGAGAATGCAATTTTGAAACACTAAATAAATGCTGGAGAAACAAACACGGCAAGATTTTTTTCTTGACCAATTGTCACATGTTCTTTCATGTCTTTGTAATCATTCATGTCACTTTTTAACATGAGATCCACCGCCTCCGTGGTCTAGTGGTAGAGCGTCCGCTCGGAGAGCGGAAGGTCCGGGGTTCCATCCCCGGCCGCGTCATACCAAAAGACGTTAAAAGATGGTACTTGTTGTTACCCTGTCTGGCGCTCGGCATTAAGGGGCTAAAACAAGGACTGGTCGGCTCGGAGTCAGTATACTGTGTCTGAGTGGGGTATTCATGTTAAACTGCGGCATGGTATCTCAGTGAGTTAGCACTATAAATCGGCATCAGTCCGGACTAGTACAAGCAGCCACACACACACATACACGTGCATGCACGTCGCTATATAAGTGCAATAATCTTGGACGCGACGTTAAACCCCATTTCACCTCACCTAACATGAGATCATCATGGGAATCTGACACCATGACATCCTGGGAACTCGACGGCCTTACAAGACCAACATGTCACCAGTGTCATATCTAGGTTCATGTTATACATACTAGTGACATGTATTAGTACGGACCTGTGTTCATGTTGTGAGTCAGCTTTCACAATTTGGTTTGATTTAGTCCAGTAACGTGCTGAGAATTGACTTCGATTCTGAGCGGCATGTACATACTCGAGACTGGACCATACAATCCAGTGATTGACATCATGAACATCGATCTACGTAATTGGGATACCATGACATCCATCAACCAAGTCAGCGAGTCTGACAACCCGATCCCGTTAGTCGCATAGTCCCCTTTTACGGCAAGCATGGGTTGCTGAAGACTTATTCCACCCCGGATCTTCACGGGTCACGATGACATGCATCAACCATGCAAGTCAGCGAGCCTTACCACCCGATCCCGTTAGTGGGCTGCTGAAGACCAATTCTAACGAGGATCGTCGCGGGGGACAGACACAGCTTGTTCCATGTAATGCGAAATACCGTAGTTAAGCTTTACAGAGTAGCAATTACTTTTTGTAAAAGGTATCATTTAAAGCTCTGCTTAATCCAAGCTTTAGGTCACATGTAACCTTGGAATCCAGACTTCGTTTGTTTTATACTGCCTTCATTTGCCCAAGCTCTATTTATTTTCGGGAAAAATGCCCAGAAAAGGATATGTCATACAATTTACTTGCCGAAGTCACCGTTAAATAAAGGGAAATCCCTGCAGGGTTATCGGCTATAAATATATCCAAAGGAAATGCGGTAACCTGAGAATTAAACCTTAATTCTGTTATGATTCGCTACCATAGTTTGGGAAGTGGCGTCTCACTTCCATCATTTGTTCCACATTAATTCTCTCGCTCATGAACGGATTTGATTGGATGGCTGTGATTAGTCCAATGTACGTTACGTAATAGAATGGAGAAGTATTGCTCTGTACAATCGAGGAAAGTTTGTTTGTTTGTTGTTGTTTAACGCCACACTCAGCAATATGCCAGATATTCGACGGCGCCTGTGAATAATCGAGTCTGGATCAGACAATCCAGTGTTTGACATCAAAAGCATCGATCTACGCAATTGGGATACGATGACATGCATCAACCAAGTCAGTGAGCCTGACCACCCGATCACGTTTGACGCCTCTTACGACTAGCATAGTCGCCTTTTACAGCAAGCATGGGTTGCTGACGACCTATTCTACCCCGGATCTTCAAGGGTTTACTCCAGATATAACCAAGGAAGGTACACATCACGAAGCCACCGCGAGTAGCCATTTAATCCTTATTTAACAGAAAATGATGCTTATACAGCGACGTGCGTGGCTGCTTGTACTAGTCCGGACTAATGCCGATTTTATAGTGCTAGCCCACTGATATACCATGCCGCAGTTTAACATGAATACCCAACTGAGACACAGTATACTGACTGCGAGCCGACCAGTCCTTGTTTTAGCCCCTAAAGGCTGAGCCCCAGGTTTGGTAAAAACAAGTACCATCTTTTAACGTATTTTGGTATGACGCGTTCGGGAATCGAACCCCGGACCTTCCGCTCTCCGGGCGGGCGCTCTACCACTTGATCCTTGGTCGGATATGGCAATAAACATATGCCATCGAAAAACATCACACCCTGAGCAAACCTTTAGTTTTTTAGATGTCTGTAATA